ATCGATTTTAATGGATTTCGAAAATAATAGATTAAAATCGATTAGATTATTAATCGATTATTTGAATTTCTCAGAAAAAAATCGATTTTAATGGATTTTTACTCAGTAAAATCGATTATAATCGATTCCCGACTCGAATTTAATCAGAATTTGCCACTTTTAATCGATTTTTCGCGATTTTTCACTCGAAAATCGATTTTAATCCGATTTTCAGGCTTGTTTTTTTACATGGGCAACGGTGTCAAAATACTTCCGGATATGAACCATGTTCATCGAATACCGCATGTGGTTGTCTTCCTCTGACCTTGAATGATGGTAAAGGTGTTTGTGCCTATCTTCATATTGCCTGTTCCGGTTTGAACGTGTGTGCTGCGAATAATCAAACGTATTTTACACCTGGACATGTTTGTGTGAAGTACTCATGATGTCAAAATCGTTCGTTGTATTATCCAACTCATATGACTAGTCAACATATATGTCCAACTCGTTTATTAACGACAACAAGTATGAAAAATATATCCAACATTTACAAGATTTTTTTTGTGATTATCTAGATGCTCCGACGGTACCACAAGATGGTATTTGTGCAACAGTAACATGAAACCCAAACGGCATTACCAAGGCTGGAGGAACGAATGGAGTAGGAAATCAATTGACTAATTTGTTTTTGCCGTCAAGTTTGTTTGTCGATGATGATTTTAATCTTTATGTTGCCGATACTTTTCATCATCGTATAGTCAAATGGAAGTTTGCTTCTTCTACTATGTTGTTGCCTTATATTCCGTCATAGTAGTTGATTGTATCAGAAATGTGATATATCATATATGAATATTCTTTGCTTGGGGCTCAAATTGGCGAACTGGTAGCCGGTGGCAAAGGGGAAGGCAACCATAGTGATCAGCTCAGTCATCCAGATGGAATTGTGCTTGATAAAAATGGAACCATATTTATTTGTGATAATAGTAACAGGCGAATACAACGATGGCATCGAAATGATAGTCAAGGTGTTACAATCGTGCAAAATATATCATGTTGGGGATTAGCGATGGACCATGAAGAATCATTGTATATTAGTGATCAAACTGATCAACATCAAGTATTGAAGTGGCCAACTGGGAAGGTAGTTGCAGGTGGCAATGGAAAAGGCAGTGCTCTGAATCAGCTCTCAGGTTCATCTTATTTATTTGTCGATCAGGATCAGTCAGTTTATATAGCTGATGGAGACAATGATCGTATAGTTAAATGGTCTGTCAGATCTACTGAAGGTGTTAGTGTAGCAGGTGGGAATGGTAGAGGAGATGGTGCTAATCAATTCAATGAGCCTACTGCAGTTATCATCGATCAAATGGGTACCATGTATGTGAGTGATTATCACAATCACCGAATTACAGCTTAGTTTAAAGGAAATAGCACGGGTGTTACCATTATTGGAGGACAGGGTGATGGAGATAGACCAGATCAACTCCGAAATCCGACTGATTTGACATTAGATCGCAACGGGAACATGTGGGTGGCTGATTATGTGAATGATCGAATTCAAATGTTCACAATCGACAAGAGTTCTTGTCAGGTCAATTTCAATCAAATATCTTCTTGAATTCATCGCTCGTTATCATTGTTTTCTTCCAGAACTTTCTAACAGTTTAATTCAACTTCTCTGAAGAATGATGAAAGATACATCATTTCGTAATCTTAAACAAGTCTATATTTGATTTTTGTTGGAATCAATTAAATAACCATGTTGAAAACGCTATTAGAGGGAAGTTCGTCAGTGTCCAATAAAGTGTCATGCTAACCAACATATTGTCCGAGATGTCATCAGTGACGAGCATAGATGAAATAGCTACCTATAACTTTGCATCAATCTGTCAAAGTGTATCCTACATGATGTATAGTAATTTCCCTTCAAATCGAATTTTTCACAATATAATGAAAGTTTTAGCTTCAATCTTTCCTACTACAACATTTCTCTATCCCTAACAGTGACTTCGTATTAGCCATCATGGTCCCGATTCGGTAAAAATAGTGCAACCTACGAAATACAATAGCACTTAGCTAGAGATCTATATCATACACGTATTGTTTCAAAAGGGAAACATGAGTTATCACAGAAGGCTTTCTGCACGATTAAAGACCTAAGAGATAAATCAATCAGGCTATATTATAATAAATAAAAATTGTCGTCATTACGGCACCTACAACTAGTCGTGTGTTGCATTGCTGAAAATAAACATCAAATATGAAGTTGCCGTCTCGTCAACGCAATTTCTATTCCCTATCATCAATTCTAAAGTTATGGGTGTGGGTATGATGAAGAGAAGAGTCACCCTACACAGTAAAATAGGTTTGAAGGAAACCTTCAGATACAATTTTCTACAAATTCTCAGCGAAATAATAACGTCAGATTTGCAATAACGTTGAAATCATAGACTAGTTAATTTTGCAAAGAATGAATAGATCCGTTGATAATTCTTTTTATGTTTGTTTGACTATGAACGGCAAAGAGAAAAATATCTTTTAAATATTTCTAGGTACTATGTATGCCACTGACTGCTGCGAATCTGTGATCAACTTATATGGAAGCTGCAACCGTTCGACTCGTGAATGCTTTTGAGAATCTAATAGACTTCGAAAGAACCAACGCTTTCAATACTGTTTTAGGATGCTTGCATGAATCTTTTGATCAAAATGGATTGTCAAAGGAAGAAATTGCTACAATAAAAGCAAATACGTTTGAATGCGGAATTTATCCATCACTCAATGCAGTTCTTCGTAGTGAAAAATTTGAAGAGATTCAACCCTGGTTCTCTCACGTGAAACTTCTCAATATGGCTGTTAACAAATTACCTCCGGAGCCGGGAACGTATTGCCGTGAATTAAATGCCAAGATAAATCATTTATATCGAGTTGGCTCGATAGTGACTTGGATATATAAAATAATTGAAAATCTTTTGTCGCCCAATAAAGCTAAAACTTGTTTCAATTTTATAAAAATAAGTGAAATCTCTTAGAAGTTCTTCGGAATAAAAACAATTTCGATCAAAATTGAGGGCTCAAGTAAGTACCTCCTATTATGCTTTACTTTTATTTTTGTAATAGTGAGGTGTCCCATCACTATCCAATAGTAATGATACATGCCATGCTTATGTTTTGCTATTCATTTTGCTGGTGAACATGCAAATAGTAATTTTTTTGTTATTAAATCGTTCTCAGCAAGAGACATATCAGCTTTTCCAATGACTCCTAGTGAACAAGAATCTATTTTATTACTGACCACACAATTCAAGGTTCTTAGCAATAAGATAAATTCGAAACACAAAAATTTGCATAAAATTACTCTCGAAGAAATCGAAACAGTTTCAGATGGCAGGTTAATTGCTTCGAAATCGAACTTTTTTCATAACAAAGATTTGAAATCAAGTCAGAAATAGCATTTGAATCATGAAATAAAGTAATTGAGAACAGCTTAAAAAATTCTTGGAACTATCAATTTAAAGAATAACAAAGTTGATCGAAATATTTCTAATCTAAGAATTTCCTACAGCAATATCATAAGTAATAAGAACAACAATATGAAAACCAAAAAGAATCTCGAAATACACAATCAAATCAATATCAACATTACTCAGCACCATAATCGAGAAAAGGTAACGAAACAAAAATAAAAAAATATTGTAAAAATCATTTATAACAGTTGTCAAGTCATTGTCTAATCTTGATACCTGATGAATTAATTCCTCTCAGTTGGTTGCTCAAGACCCCTTAAAAATGTTTCTTTTGTACTTATGTAGATTAATATCTAGCTATTTAACACTTTAGTTTCTATCCACTATTGTAGATTTTCATTACAACTATTTAAACAATAACAAATGTTTAAAACATGCAAAATTCTAGTCAATACATTGGTTTTACGTGATATTTACAAGGGAAATCAACATTTGTTCATTTAATCAAGAATTACAAATACGATTTTCTTCATTTTTTTAGATTAGAAAAATATAATAGTAGTTGTCTTTCTCATTTACTATGTATATCGAGTATTGCCTAGTATCCGCAATAAAATAAATCGTTTGAGTCAAATCGTTCACATATAGTTGTTTCTATCAGTTCTTTCCAATATAATTTGTCATCGCTATCAATTTTTAAAAATGTTTAACTTTTATAAATGAGTTCAAGCTTCTTCTTCAATTAATAATGAATTTGTATTAGCTGCTGCGCTATACCTCTAGTTGATGCCAAAGATAATACAGCTCAATACTCCGGCAAAGTCATACTATGAGACCTTTAAAGTTATTTTAAATCTGTTTTACACAATGAATAAAGACTAATGAGATTATACATGTTTGCTGTCGAAAATAGAACTTGTGTCGTTTGAAAGTTTGACCACTCAATTGACCGCACTAAAGTTAATCTTGCGAAATCATTGTATCTCTGCTTTCATCAAAATCTATACAAATTAATAGAGTAAAATGAAAAATTTTCCCTTAAATAGGAATGCACCAATTCTAATTAACTGGATATTGAATTGGATCGAATGCTACTTAAATCAACTGATCAGCTGGAAGTAGTATTCAATTATCGGAATCAATTTTAACGAGTACCTATTTAATTGCAACTGGCACATTTCTACCTATAATCCTTACATTTCATAATCAAAGTATTATAATAAAAAAAATGAAGATGCAATTTTTTTCAGATGTTTTTTCCACA